TTAGCTTGGTTTCTTTATAGAAACGATGAATTATAGCAGTTGCTAAGTGTAATTACAAACAGTACACCTTATATCTAAGATATTATAAATATTATGTAACTGAATCTTGGACACCGTAAAGTTGTGTGAGTTTCGGTTGGTGAAGTAATGTATTCTTGGTGGTAACATAATGTATCCTTAGTTATTCCTTGGTTACTTTCTGTTTAGTGATGTATCCTTAGATATTCCTTGGTTACTCCAGATCTGATTCCTATATAAGCTTGTTTTAGTTCACAATAAACATGCACTGGTACACAAGCCTCTGCATCTCCTGGGTCCTGATTTCTATCCGTCAGGGTCCCCAAGCCCATTAGGCTTGGTTTGTGGTCACTGCACTGTGACACAATATAGACAACGTAATATGTCTCTTTTGTTCCAGAAAGAGGAGCCTCCATTTTAAAGTTCCCCAAGAAATGTAATTTAGATAACTCACAAGATAATGATTTCAACATAGTGATAATAGATATATTTAATGAACTCAAAGAGGATGTACAAAAATTCAGGAATGAAGAGCGCAAAAACACAGTTGAGCGAAATAAAAACAATTCAAGCTGGGGATGGTGGTGTACGCCTTTCATCCCAACACTCCAGAGGCAGAGCCAAACAGATCGCTCTAAGATTGAGGCCAGCCTGATGTACATAGTGAGTTCCAGGAGCTGGGGCTACAGGGAGACCCTGTCTCAAAAAAAAAAAAAGAAAGAAAGAAACAAAAACCAAAAAATAAAACAATTCAAGATATGAGTACAGAATTTAATAAAAAGATAGAAGTTTTGAAGAAAATCAAAACTGAAATTTGAAATGAAAACTTCAGTAACTGAAATAAAAAAAATCTCAGTGGAAAGCCTTGCCAATAGAATGGATCAAGTAGATGACAGAATATCAAGGGCTAAAGACAAGTTAGAGGAAATGGATGATTCAGTCAAGAAAATGAAATCCTGAAGAAAAAAAAAAGGATTAGAACTTGCGTGAACTTTGAGACACTATAATAAGACTAAACTTACAAATAATAGGTATAGAAGAAGAAACTTAGTACAATGGCACAGATAATATTTTCAACAAAATCATAAAAGAAAACTTCCCAGTTCTAAGAGTTGCCTATTAAGGTGCAAGAGGCACAAAGAATACCAAATAGACAGAAACCGAAATGAAACTCCCCATATCACATAATAATCCAAACATTAACTGTACAGAACAAAGAAAAGATACTGAAAGCTGCTAAAGACCAAATCATACATAAAGGCAGGCCCATGAGACTAACATTTGACTTTTCAAAGGAGACTTTGAAAGCCAGGAGAGGATGAACTGATGTTTTACAAGTTCTTAAAGTCCACAGATGCCAGCTCAGGCTATTATACCCAGCAAAACCGTAAGTCATAATCAAAGGAGATAGTAAAACTTTACATTATAAAAAACAGATTTAAGGAATTTAAGACTACTAAATTCAGCTCTTTATACAGAGAGGACCAGAAGAAATGCTCCAGTCTGACAAGAACATTAAATATTCTCAAGAAAGCCAAGGAAATAAGCAAATCCAGTACATTTATTCAGACGAGGCATAAGAAAACAGAACCACCACAACAAAATGACAAGAATGAATACACATTATCTTATGATAATACTCAGTATGAATGATCTCAAGTCCCCAGTAAAGAGACACAGACTGAGTGGATTAGAAAACAGAATCTATCTTTGTGATGCCTCAAGGAACACACCTCATCACCAACAAAAGCCATCACCTTAGAGTACCAAGATGCAAGATGGAAAAAAGATATTCCAAGCAAATGGAACTATGAATCAAGCAGGTATAGCCATTTTAATATCTGATAAAATGGACTACAAACAAAAACTATCCAGAAGAGATGAAGAGGGGCACTTTCCCATTAGAGAAAATAAAAATCTATGAAGCAGAATTAAAATTATAAATATTAATGAACCAAACACAGGGGCACTCAATTTCATAAAAGAAATACTATTCTATCTATAAACCAAGATTAGCTACAATGAAGTGACAGTCTCTCTCTCTCTCTCTCTCTCTCTCTCTCTCTCTCTGCTAGATCACACACACACACACACATACACACACTTCACTCACCAACATACAGATTATCTGGAACCAAAACAGTGAAACATTACAGTTAAATAACATCACAAATCAAATAAACTTAATAGATGTCTATAGGATATTTGATCCAAATACCAAAAAAAACCCCACAAATTCTTTCAGCATTCCATGAAAATTTCTCCCAAACTGACTGCATATTAGGGCAGAAATCAAGTTCAACAAATTTAGGAAAACTGAAATAACATCTTGCATTCTATCTGACAACAAATGAATAAAACAGGGTATCAACACAACAGAAACTACAGAAGATAATAAATTCATGGAAACTAACATAGTACTGAGTGAAAATGGTGTCAGAGAAATCAAGGAGGCAATTTAAAAAGGCCTAGAATTGAGTGAAAATGAAAAAGAACAGAGGAAATTCTATAGAACATAATCAAGGCAGTCCTAAGAGGAAAATGTAGGGCAGTAAGCTCCTACATGAAAAAAGTTGAGAAATCTCAAAATAATAACTGAATGAAGCACCTGAAGGCCTCAGAAAATTAAGGACAAACAACAAACCAAAACAGTAGATAGGAAGAAATAATCAAAATCAGGGCTGAAATTAATGAAATAGAAACGACAACAAAAACCAAAACACAAGGAATAAAGAAAACAAAGAGTTGGTTCTTTGAAAAGATTCCCAAGATTGATAAGCCATTAGCAAGAGATAATTCTATATATGAGAGACATTAAAGACTCCAAGAGAAAACCTCTACAACTGACAAGGACATTTATCGAAGAAGCAAGATATAAAATTAGCACACAAAAATCAGTAGCCTTCCTATACAACCAAAAAACACATATCAAGAAAGTAATCAAGAAATGATGCCATTCACAATAACCTCAAAAAAAATAGTGAAATAAGTCTTACCAATAAGTGAAAGATTTATACAATGAAAACTTTAAAAGATGGGAAGACCTCACATGCTCACAGATTAGCAGGAATAATATTAAAGGGGCCATCTTACAAAAAGCAATTATAGGATCAATGCAATCCCCATCAAAATTCCAATGCTATTTTTCACCAAAATAACATCACAAATCAAATAAACTTAATAGATATCTATAGGATATTTGAAGAAACACTAGTAAAGGAGAAAAATAATCATTAGTCTTACCCAGCTTTGAACCCCGAGAGCTATAATAATCACAGGTCTGTCAAGACATGCACAATGATACAATAGTGGCAAGAATGTTGTGTGAGCAACCAATCACTTTCTAATTGGATTTAAGGCCCAGTTCAGAAGACTGAACCCATGCCTGGCACCAAGAACATGTGGGTAGATATGTCTTACTCCCTGGGAGAGAACCTAATACTATTATTCTGCTAAATTAACATAGTATTAAACTGAATTCTAATGACCTACTGCTATATGCACAGATTACTGCATCTTTAAACTCTCATTAGAGAATCTTCTCTTTGTGGCAAAAGGCAATTAACAGAGACCTGCAATTGGTCAATGCATAGAAGATTAGAGACTGTGGAATGCTCAGCCTAAATTGGACATCTATATCACATACCCTCCTCCAAAGTCTCAGGGATCAGCTTGGAAAAGGGGGTGGAATGACTATAACTTCCAGAGGCAGTGTATGAGAGCCAGTGGCAGTGCATAACTACAATGAAACTTTTCTGGACACAATGGGACCGTTGCACATATGAAATCATAGGAGTGGTGATATTATGCATAAAACCTGTGGAAACTTATGTAATACAAAATCCCATTATGGATGGTGGAAGGGGGACAAACTCTTACTCCTTTCAGAGGGTCTAATGGCAATTGATAGCTGACAGGAGAGGGAGAGTCAGTTTTCTTTAAGGGCGTGGCACTCAGTAGGTAGGTTGACCACACTCCATTGTATGGCCCCACACCCAGGAGTATATGGGAAGCACAAATTGAACTTGATGGGTTACTTACAAAAGAAAAAACAAAACAAAGAGGACATAAATTTGGTAAGGATGGATCGTGGAAGAATTATGGGGAGGAGTAGAGGGTGAATATGTTGAAAACACATTGTATGAAGTTCTCAGTGATTTAACAACATTTTTAATTTTTTTGTCAAATTAGTATGCCTTGATTACCTATGAATGTAGTCTTGACAGTGCCTGGAAATCAATCCTCAAAGAGAGGTGCTTATGTAACTATACCTGGACAACTAGCTCTGCTTTATAACTTCAAAGAAAATACATTTTTCCTTTTTTATTTCAATTCGTAATTTTCAGTACTTTTGGTAGGCACTATACCATTTGTTGTTTCTTTCTGGAGGATTCACAGAAAGCCTCACTTCAATGGGGTAAATTATCAAGTTAAACAAACACTGCACAATACTGATGAGTCTTAACTATTTTAATATTGAACTCCATACTCACAAAACAGTAAAAACAGTACCTGAGATTAACAATAAAACAGATACTATGCGCTCTTTTGTATTTAGAATGGTCAACACAATATTATAAATATCTACCTTAAAATTTGTTAAAATTTAATGTCATCTTCTTAGAAATACAGAGATACATGGAAGAATTTATGGTTGAAAAATATTTCTGAATTTAAAATAATTAACAATAAAATTTATTTTTATATGATGGCTAGAAATGATACAGTTTGTCCTTTCCCTAATTTTAGAGTCTTCCAGGTATAGATTAGATGGATGGGGCAATTATCACATGGTACTTTGAAATATTTGTGGCCACAATAAACAATAAAAGCATGGTCATATAATGGGGAGAGAAAATATGAATGAACATATAATAAACATTGCTCAGGGATATCTTTAGGTTTTATGAAGTTATTTGTTCATTTCCTCAGAAACTTCTTGTGCTTTTGTCTTTTCCATCTCAAGGTATTCTTTTCGTTAATCAAAGGCCAACGTTTTTTCTCCTACCTGTTTGGAGGCTGAGTTGCAACAATAGGATAAAAAGAAACCAGGGAGTTAAAAGTGATAATCAAAGGAAAAAATATACTAATTTTTAGAGTACTTTAAATAGTTTAATAAAAATGTTGGCTATCATTACCCTGAAAATGTTCAAACCCTTACCCAAGAAACTACCGGGATTACCTTGCAATCAGGGGGATAATATTGTTTCCTAAAACAGTAAGGTGGGACCACAGTGATGTTCATTTTTAACTTAGTTGTATGCTATATTAGGAAGCCATGCTTAACATATTTGACAGCTACAATAAATACAGTGTTCTTTCCAATATATAAAATTAACTCTATATATTTAATTATAGGCTCTAACATTTTGTAGCTATGCAATTCTAAAAATACTAATTCACTACACCTATAGTTCTGTTTCTTCATCTGGAAAATAGCGATAATAATGTAACTATATAAAATTGTGAATATTTTGTATTATTCAAGAAATGCTTTAAAAATATCTTGAATTTTATCTGTTTTAAAATTTGAGCATTGATTTCTCAACCTTTTGCTAAGTAACATCGTAGTATATTTGAAATCTGTATTCAAGAGCAGTGAAGGAATAAAACATTGTACTAAATTCTTCTGAACTTCTGCTTAAAACTGTCAAAACTGGCAATCTGATTAATTTTTCCTGGATCTTAACATTATATAACTCCCTAGAAATTGTCATTTCATGGCCTATAACCAATTTTTTCTTTCTTGATTGTCCATCACTATGTAGTTTTTTAGGTGTAATTAGTTTCTATCAGTAGTATAGAACCTGTGGATGAAATAACACAGCTCTAGTGCTGATGTTTCTTGTTGTTCTTGCTTCATTTTCTTCTTTACTAGCTACTTTTTATTCAGGAAGTACTAAGATGGCAAGAACGAATAAATATAGATTGTTCCCAATTTATAAAAGGGCTGTACATGAGAAAGTCATTTACAATTCTGTGCTTATTATTAAAATTTTTTTTTATTAAAGTCACTACAAAGCAGAGGAAATAACCTGGTGTGTGTGTGTGTGTGTGAGTGCGTGTGTGTGCGCGCGCGCTCATGTGTCTGCTTTTTGCATGTGAGAATTTTTTTTTGTTTAGGCTTTCTGTGAGAGAAAAGAAACAAGGTAAGTAGAGTCAGGTGAGAATAGACTGTGTTTGCATGGGAAATGAGATAGAATATAGCCAGAACATATTGAGATTCAATGTTGTTATAAAAGTAAAGATTACAGTAATCACGTTTATTAAAATTTCCTTTTCTCCATATATTGTTTCCTTTGCTTTTACCTCAAATGTACTCTCTTGTTATTTCAGTTCTCATCTATATTTTCCATTTAATTAAGAACTCTACTGCATTAGATGAAAAGTTCTTAATCAACAAATATTTTACTTAATAAAGCAAATACATTTGCATGGTGATTGATTGACATGACTCTTGAAAGCATAATACTAGAGTTTCATAGCATGCTTGTTTAATAATTTCACATATATTGTCTTTGACACTCAATACATCTAAATTTGGAGTTCAAAACTTTGAAAACTACATTCTCATATACGTTCCTTTAATGATGGAAAAATAATATATTCAGATACAGCTGCCGAGAAATATAGCAAATTAAACTGATTCTGTAGCTGTTGAATGCATCATAGTCATAGTTATCATGCTGCAGCAAAAACTTTGGAATAAAATTTCATTTCAATCAGTCCTAAGATTTATGAATGATAGGATTAAAATTCTCTTAATTTATTCTTTGCCAATTAGTCTGAAGTTGATTTGGTCTAGTTTTTTTCTACCTACCTAGATATACTGTATCATTGACTTTATTGCCAGAATAGAAGGAACTGGACTGAAGAACCTTGAACAATGATGGAAACTATGAATCAGAATCACCTCCAGGAAGTTACTGGCACAGATTTCTACACATAGGAGCACTAAAAACAGGCCCGGTTTTGAACTTTGGGCAAGTACTTCACTTCTGATTCCTCACCTATGTCTTTCTAGGTTTGTGTTTATCTCAGTAAAACTAAACATCACACTGATATAGGATGAAGCTTGGATCCAAATTGACAGCTTTATCTCTTTTTTGCTTGTTTTTACGGCCTTCTCCCTGTATACCCAGCTGATCTGGAACTCATTATAAAGATCAGGCTGGCCTTGATCTCAAAGATAGGCCTGCCTCTGCCTCTGGAGTGCTGGGATTAAAGGCACACATCACCATGCACTGTGACAACTTCATCTTTTATAAGATTATTTTTCTCTTCAATTATTCAGAGAAAAATTGAAGGTTTTACATTTTCTACTTTTACAATTTGCTGAGGGTTTTTATATTTTAATTTCCAGAATTATTCTTGGGGACCAGACTTTAGTTATATTCAGTTTGAGACCTTTGACTATTATCCTGAAAGAAGAATCCAATTCGGTTTACTCTTTCAGAGCTGAGCACTTTCAAGTCCCCATTTTAGTTATAGGTATAGCTAACTGGTAGATCGTTTGCCTAACATAGATGACAGTGGCCCTGATTTAATAACTCAGCACTGCAAAAGATACAAAATATTAAAGAACTATATCATTATCTGCCACATGAAACAGCCACAAGAGATCATCAAAGCACTTTAGTAATAAGAATAAATGTCAAATTCATGCATAAAATAGTGATTTTTATGAGAATGTTTAGTATACTGATGGCCTCAGTAATTTAACTATTAACAGACCTTGTGCAAGTTGCCTTTATCTTTGAACAGGAGCTGGTTTGGTAGTGTGTCTGACTGAATATCTCTAAGAAAACTTATCTTCCACTGTAAAAATTATAGCATATTTATAAAAAAAACTAGGAGTAGAAAATTACTTGTCCCTCTATAAAGTGTATTTTATTAAGGATTCTTTTTAGAAGACACGGCTTTCTCTGGAGTATGCAGTAAGTATATTTATTTGCCTAAATGTTCAATTTTAACATATGCTTTAAGGAATATTTCCATAATAATTAAACTTATAAATGACTCTCCATGATTCTAAGATTGGGAAGAAAATGTTACACTAGGTGTAGCACTTTAAAATAAAAGTTCAAAAACTTTTGTCCAGATCACACTATCTTTCTTTTGGTAATGTTATAACTTTCAGTCTTTCTGAAACCAAGGCTTATAAGTTGGATACCTCAAATATTCAAGATACCTATAAATAAGAACATGTTTACTAATTAATTTTTGAAACACAAAATTTTGAAGAACTTTGATACAAAAAGGACATACTTGATTGGTATATATAGAAATTTATTAATGTGAATGGGTATGTATTTCTATATAATATTAATTTACCATATTGTTCAGTGTTATTTATTCAATATTTTTTCAATTTTTTTTCTGTAAATTTTAGGAATGAACATTTCTTAGAATGGTTCTATGTAATTTTTCTAAGCCCATTCTGTCACTAGATATAGAATATTACTTCAGCAGAATTTAAATAACTTACAGATAACTTATTAATGATGGTAGTCTCTTAGTAATGCTGTTCTGATTCAATGGAAGACAAAATTAACCATTATCATAGCAAATAATTTTGGAAATTCGGATCTTATTAGGTATTTCTAGAAAATGCAGCACAAAATGAAATCTCACATACATACTTCCAACTAACTTAAATATATTGGTGACATGTTGCGATCTGAACATCTAAAACATTTCCAACCATTCTAGAAACTCCGTGAGAAGCTTTTAAATTTATTTTCATATATGTTCTACCTCAAATCACCATTTCTTTTTCATGAAGGTCAAGTAGACTGTGAGTTATTCAAAGGGTAACATCTGATCTCCAATTAGGCCCTGTTTTTTTAGCCTACCACATGGTTTAATTATTAGATGTCTATGAAATGACTGAATAAAATGGTGCAAGTCATTTGACTATATATTCTGGTGCTGGGTTAGTTGTTTTGGTTGAGTTATGATTGGGAGAAACGTTTTATTTATTTTAGAGTGAGATTATTTCACGTCATTAGTTGTGTGAGTGGAAAGCACCCATGGTCTCTCAGAAATTGTTTTCCATGGATATCTATGAATATGGATGTAATAGACCAGGGAAATATGTGAATGTCAAAGGTCTAAATAAAGAAAGCTAATCACCCATTCTTCTGGAAAATACTTTGTTATGGAAAGCATATATGATACACCATTTTAATGGTATTCATAATTTATTGTAAAGTCTGTCCATCTTCAGTGAAAATATTGTACTCAGTTGCAAAATTTTCAATTGTCTAGTCCTGGTCAAAATATTAGAAATTATGTTCCCAGGGTGTAGTATTTAGTTGGATAGACATTATTTCAAGTCCTTTAAAAGCTCATTTTGCATTGCATTTCAGAAAATTCAATATCTTGCAATTGAAAAATTTGTTTTTCATGTGAATGTAGTCTATTTTATAAGTACATTTCACATTAAGTCATCCTCTGTTAGAAAACATAGTTCTTAAATGCTATGATCAGAACCACAAAATATTCACTATATTCCTCAAACCACGTAAATTTAAACTTATGAAAGTCATGTTTTCATTCACCCATAAATACCAAAACAAATAAAACATATACGATGTTTTCACACTAATGTAATTGGTTATGAAAAATAACTGAGCAAACATCTTTTTACTTCTAAGAATTCTACTAGAGAAATATTTTATTACTTATAATTAGTTAATATTTCTTTAAGTTTTCATAGGAATAATCTGTAACATCACACTTGGGTTATAAGAAGAATCTTGTCATATCATACTTGTATTTCTAAAGAGGTATTGTCTCGAGAAAAACCACAAAAATTATTCTCTGTTAAAGTAAAAGCATTAAGGAGACAGAAATTTTATATTTTCATTTTGGCTATTTGAATCTGTGTTGCACTCTAAATGAAAAGCTGTGTGCATTTAATTATTTTGTGGAAAACAAAATATAGGAACTTGAACACTTAGGCATACAGACACTATAATCCAATTGAAGTGCACTTATTCACCTTTCTTCATGAAGTACAAAAAAGCTAAATTTCAATGCATACCAACTTAACCATACTTTAATGATAACATGTTGGTAAAGTTGCATAAAAAAGAACAGCATTTTGCTGTTGTCAAAAATAGGTTACTGAACACTTAGCTATCTTGATTTGTGCATGCAATTCAGATTGCTAGAGGAAATATTTGATAACAATATAGCTTTAATTATTATCAAGAAAAATAAGATAAACGGCAAGTTGTAAATTAAAAGTAGAAAAGCTTGGGGAGAAACTCTGCTTTCTGATATGTCAAAAACATTTCGAATACTGTTCAACTAAATTACAGTTTACAATGCCGTGGGTATTTCAGATGGCTTTCTTTTAAGGCTTTGATATTCAAGAGGTGATTTTGTTTCAATGATTTGTGATACTAAAGGTTCATTTAGGTCTCTGGCTCTATCACTTTCTCTTTCTCTCTGAAGAAGAATATAACCCAAATAAGGGTATGTATGGGTGAGGTATGTGTAAAAAATTACTAGCTTGTCTGGGAGTAGGTTTACATTGACTAACTATTCAAATATTGATAGGTAAGTAGACAAGAAGACCCATCAATCACATTCAAAGCTTATTTTTCTATTTTCCAAAAGTATAGAAAATGGAACTTTCCAACAGAAAATCATACTAATGGCTTTAGGGTGTTAAAGAAGTAACACTGGATAGCTTGTTGCTCTAGTGAGTTTACATATTTAACTAAGTAAAAAAATGAATTTCAAACTCCCTTCAATGACAATGCCATGAATTACAGGAAATGGAGAATTATTTTGAAAGCACATTTACGTAAACTTACCTTACAAAAGTGATTCAGAGCACCTGGTGATATAACAAACTTCACAACATCTGGTAGTTCAGCTTCCACTATAACATCAAAATTAGGGAGTGGAATATTTGGATTGGAAAGAATCTTTAAAGTGGCAGGATCCTTGATGCCAACGGGATTCTGGACCCTGGAAAAATCTTTTAAAAAGCCAGATTCTGTGGCATCAAGGGCATCCACGGACCCAGTGGCATGCTTATAGTTAACAGAATCCATGCCACCAGTGGACTCTTGGAACTGAGCACCAATATTTTGGTCATCAAAAATTATATAAGCTCTACCAAGCTCAAGTGGATCATGAAATTTAGAGGCAATCAAATAATCAGGAAAAGAGCTATAGTTTGTGTCAGGAACAAAATTTGAGATATTTCCGTAGGCAAATTTAAGGATAGAGAATTTGGAACTGATTTGCAATTCAGGATCAGGGAGATTGTTAATAATTCTGCTACTAACAAAATAATGAATATTCTGAATATTTAGAGCATTATAATTTGGGTTGTTGGTAACATTCAAGTCACTGCAATAAGTAAATCTATGGAAATGCTTATTGTTTGAGGCATAACTTTTTCCAGTAGTAAAATGAGAGCTAACAGCACCACTATAATCAGTGGTGTTCCTAGTATCTGTAGGACTGATAGCACTAGCTGCAAACCTGGGTCTAGCAAGATAGTGGTTTCTATCAGAACAGTTTGGGTTCACTGCAAAGACAGATTTTATTTCATATGTTAACCCTGTGACACAGTTTTGGTCTAAGTAATAGTTTAGGGCAACTATATGTTTGTGACTAGTAATGCTAGTGGGTTTTATACCATATTTAGGGTCAGCAATATTGTAAGGAATAATAGCATTGTGACTATTATTATTATTACTGGGATTGGTATTATAGTTAAAATCAAGAAGCTTTTGGAAGGCATGAGTATTGTTTTGGGAGTTGAAGTTATTGGGATCAGTCTCATAGTTGATGAAGTCAAGTCAGTTGGAAATTGATCTAATATTCTTGGGGTACACGTCATTTCCTGATCCAATGGTGTTTCTAGGGTCAATATCATTGTTGGAACTAGAAATAAAGTCCAGCACAGTTCTATTTTGATTTCCAGAGGTGCAGTTTGGATGAATGCTATTCTTAGAGTCAACAGTATTTTGTTGAGTGGCATCATCAATCAGGGCAGAAGCATTGTCTGAATTGTCAGCACATATAACTTCATCAGTGCTATATTTCAAGTTAACATCATTGTTGGTGGCATTATCAGCAGGGTCAGATTCATTGCTACGATCAATTGCATTTCCAGAATCAACATCATTGCTAGAATCAGGCCCACTTGTAGGTTCAGCAGCACCACTGGGATCAGACCCATTGCCGCTCTCAGTATTATTTTCAGAGTTACCATCTTTAGGATCACTATCATCAGGGTCAGATTTATCTTTGGGATCTTTCTTATCTTTTGCGTTGTCTTCATCTTCACTGTCTGTTTCATCATCATCTGTTTCATCTTCAGTATTTGTTTCATCTTCATCATTTGTCTCATTGGTGGGAAGAAGTTTATATTTCACATCAGTCTCATTTTTGGGATTCCTAAGTTTAGTCTCATTGTCAGGCTTATCTTCACTTTGCAAACTGGCAGTAAGGTTGAACTTGCTCTCACTTTCAGATGGTGTTATTGGTGTTGCCACTACCTGGCCATGGATACTATGTTGGCCCATAACATTTTCGGAGTGCATAGGAAAGGTACTGGTAACAGTAGAGCCCTTGAGATTTTGGAGAGCTGAACAACTTTCACAATTTAAGTAAGAAGCTGAATCTGAAGAATGCTTAGACTCTTCCTTGTGCAGAGGGCAGTGGCTGCCCACATGATGCTTACGATCCGCGGATTGGGATAAAAGCCTATTTCTAGAAATCTTGCAGTGTCTATAAGTTTTGGAGCTCAGAGAATGTTTAGAATCCAAGGAAATTTGGGTAGGCAAAGGAGAGTCAGAGGCTGAATCATCAGAATTCATAGGGAATTTATGAAAAAAAGACTTGCTGGTTTCCATAAAATATCTGGCACATCTTTGAGTTTTCATGTTCAAAGAACATGTAATATTTTTCTGGGTTTTCTGTTGTATGACACACTTAGGACTTGTAGAAGTTGGAGTTTGGGACGATGATGGTACATTCAAGCTATAATTCTCAGAACTTAGAGGACGGGGGTGGCTAATTTGAGACCTGAAACTCTGACAACTATGGGAATATGTGAACTCCTTGCAGTGACACTTATGGATAGATATTTTGTGGCTGGCTTTTCTGCGATTCATCTCATCCGTGAATGTGTTTGAGTCTGGGGATGAGCTGTAGCTGTGCTTTTCCTTTACTTTTCTTGTGAGAGTTGCTTGTCACTGAGGCAAGGACACAGCGCTTTACATTTCACATCCTTGTTCTCACTCTTGGATTTCATTAATGGAATACTGGAAACTGAGAAAAAAATCAAATATGAGCAAGATTAGTCAAAAATACAACCAAGTCTAGCTTTAATATTCTTATTACAACATCAACACATGAAAAGGAAAATAGCATTTCCTTCCAAGTATTAGGATTTTATTTGATTTTTCAAGGGAAAGCCAGGGTCCTAAATTTTCTGCTCAAGTAGATGTCATTTTGAGTTTATTAAGACATAAAAATGAAGCATGGTCATTTAGTTCAGATGATTATATTCTCCATTTGAGAGAGCTTATTCTTTAGAAGGGAAATCATGATACAAGAATTCACAGAATGATGTGACCAATATAAAACTATGGCTTTACATAGCTTGGTTATTACAAATCTACACTATTTTTGCATTAAATTTCTAGAAATATCTGCTCTTTGAGTATAACCTCTATCATATATAAAAATCTCCTTGTTTAGAGATCAAGAAAATACACTTTTGTTTGATACATCAAAATTTTAAAATTTTCTTTTATTAATGTTAACAGCAAAAATAAATTGCTATAGCTATTAATATACAATGGACCCTCATTTTGAAATTGTAGATATTCATAAATATTTTAGCTTTAAAAGTGAAATAAAACTATAAAATTTCATTATAGATAACCCAGTAGTCATCCATACAGATAGGCAGAAATATAATTTAAATTTTAAAACAAAGATCTGTTTTACCATTCCTTTTAAGTTCCAAATACATTTTTATGCCCAAACCCCAAATAATATTTTGGAAAGAGCCTAGAAATGCTGAAAGGTAGTTTTCATTATTTAGAAACTGGTAATAATTTTTTACAGCACAAAGACACAGGGTTTCTCATCAGTTTCCTTTACCATAAAGAAGAGTGCATGAGAAATGGTTATAATTTCACACCTGATGTATTTTGTATTTATAAAATGTACATATTCAAGTTGATCTACCCTTAACAATATTCACTAGGGTAGGTTCTATGTGATTTGTCTACAAAGAATAATTTCTTGCTGTAAAGATCTCATGGTTTTATTTCTAAGAAAATGAGCATATATTCAGATAAAGAGATAAGTTGTAATGTTGCCTCTGATACTATGATAGCATTAAATGGTATTCACATAAGAGAGAAAACATGAGCGTTTAGTAGCCTATGATTATGTTTTATCATAAATATAAACATACAATTATTAATTTTCTATCCCAAGCCAGATGTCAAAAATATTAAAGTTGATAATGATTATCTTTAATGACTTTGGTCTTTGAAAGCATGTATCAATACACTTTAATTATACAGGGCTATTATTATAAATTAGTGACAAAGGGTAATGGCCTGATACAAATACAAAAGGAATACATTGTAACTGAAATAATCCTCATATTTAAAGTAATACTGGAATATACTAGAATAGCTACAAAAATCTCTCTGGAAATCAAATATTAAGTATACTGGTATTGAAGATGTACAGCACTATGAAACAACATGAAGAAAATATTATTTACAAAGGGGTACATCAAGCATATAACTTTATAATAATAAATTAGTTAAAATTATGTCCTGACTACTATCCTCAGACCTGTTGGGGTAAGTCAATAGCGCAGCTGTCCGCGCCGGAACTCCCTAAGCCACATTCACCCTTCCATCCCCCCGCCTCGCCTTTCTATACTCCTAGTTTGAGCCCTGCGCCATTCCTAGTCTTGGGGCCCCAGACACCTGGGGAACCAATACTG